AAAAAAAAAAAAAAAATCACCAAAGCGCATATAGGTGCAACTTCCTCTCCAATGAATCCTGTCAAGTGCACAGCGCTAACTAGAGTCACTAGAGGCTGTGTGGTGTACCCTTCCAGAGCTTTCCAAAAGCACATACAACGGAGTAAATACACAGGCTATGAAGATACATTTGTGCACAAACGGTATTTTTTTTTTAACACAAATGGGAATGTGCCAAATGTCCTGCTTTGCAACTTTCCCTCCCAAGTATGTCTGATATAGAGACTGCTTAGCTTTGTTTTTAACAGCTGCTCAATGTGCAGCTGTGGGAGGGGGCGCCATTCATTCAACCGCCCTCCCACAACCCGGTGATGGATGCATGGGCTGCCTCCATTTTAACACGCTTCCAAATGAAGCCACAAAAAACCAGTATGGTGCCGGGTGGTCCCACACAGGCACGTTCCTGGAAGAAGGACGAAGACCCTTTCGGCTGCGGCGGGTCACTTGGGGCGTGCCTGAGTAACTCTGAGCTCAGCCACGCCCACCCCAGCTCCAAGCCACGCCCCCAGGTGGTAAGGGGCAAGGGGCCGCTCGCTGCGTATTGGTCCGCACTCAGCCACGCCCACCCCAGCCTCGCTGCTCCCTGCCCCCACCACAGGGCCGGGTGGAGGCTCCGCGGATTCTCTGCACTCAGCCCCGCCCCCCACGGTGGGGTGAAGGGACCGCTACTCGTCCCCCGCAGCCTCGAAACCAGCCCAACCCCACGGGCATGGCTTCGTTTATCAGAGCAAAGCACTGGAAACAACCTGTCTGTCCTGCGGCCTGTCAGGGAAACACTGGGGCATCTACAGATACAGTTACAAGCTTTGCTACAGCGTCTGAGAGTCCTGCCCCAGGAAGAGGCAGGGGGCGCCGTGGCCAGGACAACAAAGTGGGGATACTTGGCGCCAGAAGGAAGCTCAGACTATAATCTCCGTGACCCAGGAGAGGTGGGCGGCAGGGGGCAAGGGGTAACTTTATGCTTTTTAAAAGACACATTCCTGAAACAAAACAACCAAGTCAAAGGACCAGAGGATGTGGGAAATTAAGAAATATAAAAAAAAAAAACACTGGACAAATGCTACCAAGACCACAGCGGAAGTCACAACTTCCTATCAGACAAGTGACATTCACAGCAAACAGCATTATAAGGGTCAAAACAGACAGTGTTACAGGGATAGAAGGTATTGAGTCTGGATCCCCATTTGGGAGAGGGAAATACATATATGATTATATTTTCTTGTTTCTGATGCATCATGCCTTAATCCTGTTCACATTTCTGAAATCGGAAGGCATCCAGGGGGTCGAAGGAACCACCTTTCTCCACAAACACCTGCTGAAAACGGACAGCTCACTGAATGGCCTCTACCTTCGCAGCTGTGCACATGGGGCCAGCAGAGGACAGCAAGCAAAGTTCTGAGTGGACTTGTATTTGCTTCCTTTTCTGTATCTTCCAAGGCAGTGTTATCATCAGGTATCACTGAGACCTCTTTCTTTCCCACTGATGAGAGAGCCCTTTTCTGGGAAACTTATTATTATTATTCGAGTAAGAAAAGAACTCCAACAAGCTCTGTACCCAGAACAGACATGGTCACTGCCATGGTCACTATGGCAGAAAAATACCATCCTCAACCCAATCACCGCATGGTTGATGGCAGCGGAGAATGAAAACCAAGGGGTGGGTGCAGATGGAGGGATGTTATTCAGCCATTTAGAAATAGTGATTTAAAAAAAAAAGTAAAATCAGGCTGATGGCAAGTGGGAATATCCAAGTCTAAAAAAGCAGGATACAAAAGCGGGTCTCAAAACACTATGAACAGTGGTTGCTCCTGTGGTGACTTCACTGGCATCTGATTTCTTTTGTTAACAATTAGTCTCTCCTGTTCTAGTCTCTTACTGTGTCATCAGAAGGCTGGGATTGGGTGAGCCCCCGATCTTCTCCCCAGCAGAAGGTACCATATCTTGGCAAAGGGCCCAGGGGGCAGCCTGGCCCGGGGCGGGTGTTCACAGCTTAGCTGGGACGCTCAGTAGCTGCCGTGACCTTGGGCAAGTTACAAGGCCACCTGTGCAGTTAACATGAGTAACCTACCTCGCAGGGTTTTGTGAGCACTCTGTTGGGACACAGTAAGAAATATCTACTTGGTCTCTGCCCCCGGTTCCTGACAAAGAGCTCCTGAACCCCTTGGAATTTCCTGGATCACAGGAGAGTCTTTTGTCCTAATGAGGCGACTGTGGGTAAGTCCCTAGCTGGCCTCGGAACGGGGGCGGCTCACGAGAAACACCAAGCCAGGAGAAGCCAGGAACTCTGAGTTCCGATGTCCCCCATCCTCCGGGGCAGGGAGAGGGTCCAGAGATGGAGTTAATAACCGATCCTGCCAACGTGACGAAGCCTCCATAAAACCCTGAACAACGGGGTTTGGGGAGCTTCCAGGTCGGTGACGGTGCTGGAGAGGCGGCGCACCGGGAAAGGGCACGGACACCCACACCCTTGCCCCATCCCTTGCCCTGGGCATGTCTTCTATCCGGCTGTTGCTGAACCGTATCCTTTCTAGTAAACAGTAATAATGAGTGAAGTGCCTCCCAGGGGTTCTGGGAGGCCCCCTGGCGAGTTACAGACCCTGAGAAGCGGGTCCTGGGAACCCCCAGTACACAGCTGGTGCGTCCGCCAGAAGCACAGGTGACACCCTGAACGTGGAACTGGCGCGCAGAGTGGGGGCCGGGCCCTCTGCCTGTGGGGTCTGTGCCAAGCCCGGGGAGTCGGGGCCAGAAGTGTCGTGAGTGGAGAAAAGGAGTTGTCCTTCACCAGTCGAAGAAGCAGAGGTGCTCAAGGGGTGGGACCTGGCCTGGGCCCTGCCTCAGACCACCTGGTGTGATCACCATGAGCAGTACACACTATTCCAGCACCTTCCCTCCCGGGCCTGGAGAAACCTGAGAGGGCTTCAGCTGTGGGCAGACAGGTGGGCACCAATCACCGTGGACGACACCGGAAGACAGCCACTTCCTCACTAGCCCCGTCACCGGGAAATCAGTGCCAAGCCTCATCCCTCTTCTCGACTTCCTACATAGAACATCACCGGTATTTGAGAGATCATCCTCCATCGGGGACAGGGACAGGGATGGGGAGGTCTGAATGCAACCAACCAAAGGGGGTGGCTTCCTAGCAGCCAGTGCAAGAAGGGTCTGACTGTCCTACGGTTCTTAGAAAGCAAGCATTTTAGGGGTGCCTGGGTGGCTCAGTCGGTTAAGTATCCAGCTAAGGCTCAGGTCATGATCTCATGGATCATGGGATTAAGCTCCGTATCAGGGTCCATGCTGATAGCACGGAGCCTGCTTGGGATTCTTTCTCCTCTCTCTACCCCTCCCCAACCTGTGCGCACGCTCTCTCTCAAAACTGTATAGGGGCGCCTGGGTGTCTCGGTCGGTTGAGCGTCCAGCTTTGGCTCAGGTCACGATCTCATGGT